ACATCATTAATTAGTCATTTGCTATTTGCAGATGACACTTTGGTGTTCTTGATGGGGAGATAAGAGGTCAATGAAGAATCTGTTGAAATTTTTGGGGGATTATGAATCTTGTTCTGGGCAGAGGATTAATGTACAGAAGAGTTCTATGTACTGTTCAAGATTGATTTCTGCCAGTAGGAAATTGGAGTTGTCTGCTTTAGTAGGTATTCCAGTCAGGAGCTATCCTTTTACATATTTGGGATGTCCTATTTTAAAGGGAGATCTAGAATCAGATATTTTGAAGATATAATAGCTAAGTTCAGAGCTAGATTGGAAGGATGGTATTGTAAAATGCTGTCTAACATGGGTAGAGTATTAATGGTTCGTTGTGTTGAATACTATTCCAATTCACATTTTGGCCTGTCAGAATTTGCCTAAGACTGTAATTCATAAGTTGAATGGTATGATGGCTGGTTTTATATGGTCAAACAAATTGGATATTAGAAAAAGACATTGGGTGTCATGGGAGAAGGTTGCTCTGTCTAAACTGGAAGGAGGGTTGGGTATGAGGAGTTTTGAGGATTTGCAGATAGCTTTTAGAATGAAACAGGTGTGGAATTTGTTACAGGGGAATTCTTTATGGGCAAAGGTGTTTGCTACAAAATTTTTAAAAGGAAAGCACTTGTTGAGATGTGTGGAAGGAGTCATTTAAGAGCTTGGAGGTTTTAAGGCCTTACTTTGAGAAGGTCGTTATGCAATCCAAGCGGTTGGTGGGGAAAGGTGATCTGACTGATTTTTTGGTGTGAATGTTGGTTGGGGGATAGTCCTTTGTTATTTAGATTAGATAGTATGCCAACAGTTTTTCCAAAGGTTTGTGAGGTGTTGGTGAATTCAAGCTGGCAGTTGGATCAGTTTGGACAGTTGATGAATGACCAAATCAAGGAGGATCTGTTAGGGGCTGGGATTACTTTATCAGACTCAGCTGATAAGTTGGTTTGGCAGAGATCAAGCTCTGGTCTATTTTCTGCTAAAACAGCATGGAGTCTGGTGAGGCACAGAAGTGAGGAAGTAGTGTTGTGAAGGCAATTTGGAGTATGAAGACTGCTCCAAGTGCCCAGCTGGTAGGATGGAAGTTAATGAGGAAAGCTTTGCCTATGGATTCTAGAATTCGATTGTGTGGGGTATATATGGTGAGCAGGTGCTCTTTGTGTGGAAGTGCAGGGGAGGATTCTGTGCATCTTTTTATGGAATGTAGCTATGTAAAGGCTATTTGGAAAAGAATGGCTTCTATGGCTGGGTTTCGGCTTATTGAAAATGAAATGCCTTTAGTGAGAATGCAGAGAATATGTAGAATCTTTAGAAGGCAGTCCTTGGGGCGTGGATTGGTAAGGAGTCTTGCTCTGTTAATTTTTTGGTTGGTTTGGAAGGAGAGATGTAAGAGAAGGGCTGGGGAAGGGTGTCAAAATTCCTACTCAGTTTTTCTCAAACTTTGCAGTATTTTGAGATGCCCAGTAAGGAATATTAGGCCAAAGGTGTTGGATGTGGAAAGAGGAGGTGCTTTCTTACAAGTGCTGGTTATTGTGGTGCTCTATGTGCTTAGGGTTAGAGCAGTGTGGGTTAGATGGGAAAAGCCTGCAGAGGGGTGTATGAAGCTTAATGTAGATGGGGCAGCGAAAGGTAACCCTGGTATGGCTGGGCTGGGGGAGCTGTATTGAGAAATGAGTGGGGTGGTGTGGTGTTGGCTGCATCTTTTTTTTATGGTATATGTTCAAATATGGGTGCTGAATTTAGGGCTATGCTAGATGGGTTATGTTTAGTGGAAGCATTTGGGTTGAGTGTTCACAGACTTGAGATAGAATCTGATTCATTGGTTCTAGTCAACATTCTTTAAAACGAATGTGGATGTCCTTGGCCTTTTTTAAGTGTTCTAAAGCAGATTAACCAAGTGCTGGCAAGAATGAATTTTCAGCGGAAGCATGTATTTCGTGAGGCCAATTCTGTGGCTGACAGTCTAGTGAACAAGGCTGTGCAGGATGGGAGGTCTTCTGAGTTCTGTGTCTCCAGAGAGTTTCTGGAATAAAACTGTTCATATTGTTTGGAATTCTTGAAGGATTACAGCCATTTAATGGCTCATTTGTTTCTTGTAAATTTGTTAATTCCTGTAATTCTTTGGTTCTTGTAAAGTCTGATTTTACTCAATAAAATTTTGATGGTTTAAAAAAAATAAAATTGGGAGTTAGAAATGAGCTATAAATTTTGATATCTTGATTTTGAACCTTGATAATTTCTTTGGGTCAAGCCATGAATGCCTCATTAATATCCTAGTTTCAGCATAAATAACCTGTTTTTGGTCAGATAAAAAAAGAGATTAGTTGAAATGTATGTAAACTAATCAGGATATCCTTCAAAAGTAAAAAAAATAAATAAAAGCAAAATAAACAGGTATGAGCCTTTTCATGTACTGTGTAAAGGCTAGAAAATTTGTGATTTTTTTGGCAGCTTAATATGAACCAGATTTCAAATTTCTGGTTTGCAATTCTCAGCCAAATCTGAGCCTCAAATCATCCCAATGATTTTCTTTCAGTGTGGCACATTTGCACATTTCCAACGAACCTCTTAAAAAGAGACAGACTTGATCTCTTGTCCATGATTTCCTCTGCATTTCCATTTCAAAATCCAATCCAACACTTATCTCCCTTCGCATATAACTCCTCTTGCTGCCCCCAATTTCAAAACCATCAATTTGGTCTCTTTATCTCATTTTCCTCTACTGGGTTTGCTTCAGTTTCCACTAACTCATCTCAGTTTCTCGAAAATCTTAGTGAGTTCTCTTAGGTAGAAAATTGAACATCTTAATGGCATCTATGGGGTCTCTTCCTTTTGTGATCGACACTGCAATGGAGGGTTCTGTTCTTCACTCTGCTAATTATCGGCGACCAAACTTTCCTTTATTCGCGTATAGGCCGTTAAAGTTTCTTGATTCTGGCGTTTTGACTGATTCGGTATTTGGGTGTTTCAAAGTTGTGGGTGAGGATATTGGTAGGTCGTCTTCAATTTCATGGAGAACTAAGCGTCTGAGAGCAAAAGAAAAGGGCTCTGGAGACGTTGAAGATGGTGATAAATCAGAGGATACATTTCAGGCCACAATAGAGAAGAGCAAGAAGGTTCTAGCCATGCAAAATGACCTACTTCAGCAAGAAATTTTCATCTTTAATCTCGTTGATAAATTCTTTTAACTACTATACTGCTTCTCATATCATCAATTGTTCAAAATGTCGACTTATTTCTCATTTTATTGCATTACCTAATTTTGATTAGCTGAGCAGGATAATCCCTCATTTAACAGCATAATCTCGTTTTGGCAATTGTCGTTCTCATTTTGTATTGGGTTATCTAAATTTGATAGTCTCAGGCACTATAATTTCCTGAAGGTATTTATTTTCTTTTTGGTTTTGAAAGTGATCTTGCTGGTCTTCTTTTGGCATTGTAGATTGCAGAAAGAAGGAAACTAGTTTCAACCATTAAGAATAGTATAGTAGACCCACAAGGCCAATTTTCCAACGAAGAGGAGGACATCACTTTTTCAAGTCTGAATATTGCTTCAACCCATGATAATGCCACTGATGAAGATGATAGTAATGGAAATTTATCTACCACAAAGGAGCCTGAGGACCTACCTCCTAAAAAGGCTTCTTTCAGTGCAAATTCCCCAAACGCATTGGAAAAAATTCCTTCTGATGAAGGTGCAAAGGAAACTGAGGACTTACCCATTCAAAAGAGTTCCTTATATGTAAATTCCCGCAAACAGTTAACAGACACTGCTTCAGAGGCAGTTAGGGCCGCTGAGCTGCCATCCTTTCTTTCGAGTTTCTCTGCAACATCCATTATAAAAGATGAACAAAAAGAAGATTTTAAAGAATCAAGTTTACAAGAGGTGACTGGTGAGGCAAATGATCCTGCGAATGACAATGTGAAACCCCCTCCTTTGGCTGGGCCCAATGTTATGAATGTTATATTGGTTGCTGCAGAATGTGCACCTTGGTCTAAAACAGGTATATTACAATAAATAACTGTACTGAGGTGGGAAAACAATATTTCGGATGTTCTTTTTGTTACAGTACCAGTTTCTCATTACAAAATCTATTCTTTCTGTTTTATCATTATGTGGATAGCAGTTTTTAATTCCTGCTTTGTAATACTGTTGTTACGGTTCACAAACATTAAAATAGAAGTCTAAAATCACTCTGGTGTGGTGGGCTGAAAGTGCGTGCATGTACAGTTGTCCGACTGGATGGGTCTCATAACCTCCATATTTGGCATGTTCATTAATATATTGGCAGTAAAAAAATTTTTGTTGTTCAGGGGTATATGATTCAAACCTTGGCATATGCAAAAAAAGGTAAAAGTAGAAAATTGAGTTTCTTAAGATAAAGTTATGCATGGCCTTTTGCCGTTATATTAAATTAACAAGTCTTACTTATCAAAGCTTCAGAAATATAGTGAGTGGTATGTGTATGCATATATGCTAAGGGAAGTATTAATGTATGCCTCTATTCATATGTGTGCATTATTTTTGTATGCGACTCTCACACTAATTTACAAAGAGTTCTCTTAGGTGGGCTTGGAGATGTTGCTGGGGCTTTACCAAAGGCTTTGGCTTGGCGTGGTCATAGGGTTATGGTAAGTTTAGTATTTTCATCTGTTTATAACTTGGTGGTGTGCTAAAATAAGTTGTTTTTAGAAAATTGTTGCAAACAAGTGGAACCTATGGGGATTAGGTTAGGCTGCACTTTACTAGTTTTTGGACTCATTTAATCATCTTCAATCATATCGGGCATACTATTGTCATCTTGTAGTTAATGGTACTTTGCATTTGTCTGCTTGATAAAAGCCTAATGACTTCTGAAAAAGAAAAAGAAAAGGTTGAATGACTTGAAGAATTTTAAATGGCTGGAATATGGTACTAACATCTCAGATGTACTTGCAGTAGCATATCTGACATCAACCAATATCAATAAATTTGTAGTCTATAGGGGTTAATTTAAGTGGTTTTAATGGTTGGAAACCAGGTTGTGGCACCACGTTATGGTAATTATGCTGAACCTCAAGATACTGGAGTTGGGAAAAGGTATAGGGTTGCTGGGCAGGTATGCATCAGCAGCACTAAAATGCTACTAACTTCCTACTGTATTATGATATCATTAACCATTAAACATTTCAAGTTTGTGACAATGTGCAACTTTGCAGGATATGGAGGTGGTTTACTACCAAGCCTATATTGATGGTGAAAGTTCTGAGTTTCGGCATAGAGAAAATAATATATATGAGGAAATCGTCTGGTAAGATAAAGTTCACTCAGGTATTTAGCTTGAGTCTCTGAGAGATAATCAGCGTCTGATTAACGATCTCATGCTAAATAATCATTTGAGATAACTTCTTATATGTCACGGCTTTATAGAATATCAATTTACAATCATTTGCTGCTTCCCACTAAGAATTTTTGTGATTAGGATAGTAGGTGTAATTAACTGCACCCTATTTCTTACGCAATTCGTCTACAAAATTTTGAAGTGTGAGATCAGATTACTAGTTTTTATAGATGTCTGCTTCCAGATGTGCCACATGTTGATGCTGTTTGTGAGCCGGGTTACCTTATCTAATTTCGTGTTTCCTGTATTATGTTCTTTAATTTGCATTAAACTTTTATGATTTTTTCTTGTGGAACTTCTGGTTTATTAACGTCTTTTGTTGCTCGCTGATGCAGGATATTTTGAAGTGAATGGTTTTATTGTGCAAAATGGCTTTTGAGGTATAATATAATATCAGGCTCTAAAGAACGTAGTTCAGAAAATTTACTGTCACTTGTTGTTTATGACCCATCATTCCTAGAATTGGTGCATGGAACGAATAATTAATTTTTGCTTGTGCAACTATGGAGAATTACCAAAGATTGACTCAGAGAAGTCTAATCTGCTGTTACCAGTCTTAAACTCAAAATGAATTTTAAAAGCTCTTAAAATGGGAACGATATCCAAAGAGGGAAAGAAGGCTAGAATCAAAAGAACTCAAATTATCATAGAATGTTTGTATCATAATTCTAAATATTTCAATGAGAGAATCCTTGTTGCTTAGTTTTGGCCAGCCACAGTGTGGCCTCCTGTTGTGGATTCTTGGGATTATAATGCTTTCTAAGTCACTACCATCTTGTTCAGGAGTAGAGGTGCAGGCAAAAGCTGTCATACTCTCAGGTGTTTATATTGCTACTGACATGTCGAAAATGAGCAAAATGGATAACAAGCTACACCATGAAAGTGAATGACCTTATGCCCCGAAAAAACCCACAAAAGCACCCAAAATTAGGAAAAAAAAACACACAGAAGGAAGGGAGAAATCATGAAAGAAAGGGGATACAAAAATGCAATGACATTAAGCAGTAGTCTAATTCAAAATCTAATCCTTGCTCATTTTCTTGTTCAATGTTTTGATCTGCCCAAATGGTATATATAATATGGAGAATCTTGACTTTCTTGGCATGTCCCATGTGGTGGGGCCTGCTATGGAGATGGAAATTTGGTTTTCATTGCAAATGATTGGCATACTGCATTGTTGCCGGTATATCTAAAGGCGTATTATCGGGATAATGGATTGATGAAATACACGAGGTCCGGCCTTGTAATTCACAACACAGCTCACCAGGTTAGCTCTATAAGCATTGTAAACTTTTCTTGTTATGTTTAATTTTCTCTTAACATCATCCATAGCATAAATCTGTACCGAGAATTTAGCATAAAATTATCTATAGATTTGTAGTAGATGATCTCTTAACCTTTTTGGCTGATGAGAGTTGTAGGAATGAAATGAAAGTTAGCGTCAACGTCCGCACTCAGGGACACACAGTTGCTTACTGTTTTACTATATACTCCGTCAAAATACAATACATACATTCTGTCAAAACCCCCTACATTTTGTTTTTTTTTTCATTTTATGTACTTGGCATGCCAAGCTCATTGGAATGTAATTGTTTATATCTTTTTTCCTAAGCTGACAGACTCTTGCACATTACCATCATGCCATGTGCTTATCATCTGTTTTTAATTCCACTTAATTACCGAAAGTTCACAATATTTTGACTGCACAGACAGACAAGCTTATATGCAGTGCACTTGCCAACCTCATTTGTGATTTCCGCTGATTACCTTATCCCCAACCTTATAATCATCTCCAGATGTTTCCTTGGGCAGCTGATTGATGAGTTTTAAACTTGAAAGCAGATTTTCATATTAATAAAAAATTTGTGGATGTTTTGATTTTTTTGGGAACTCAATGAACTTTGGCTCTTTCCGTTTACTGTCTTGCATGTTGGGATTGTTTGTCCCAAATAAACGCCGATGCCGACACATTGCAAAACTTGAAGCCATGAGTACTTATTAATGTAAATTGAGAAATTAATTTTACTTGTTCATCTGTCATGATCACAAGGTCTACATATAGATTTGATATCTAGTTGTTTGAGCAAAATTTCAAAAATTGTAAATCAACTGTTTCTATTTTCTAGTATCCTGAACTGATGTTTCTTCTTTCTATGGTTGCATTTGTATGCTGCATCCAGGGTCGTGGTACATTGGATGATTTTGTAAGAATAAAATTAAGTGTTTAAAACTTTTCATTGAATATCCATTTTAATTGAGTTTAAATAGTTTCAGTTACATATTTTTTAATTGAGTTTTGAATTTTCAGTTACATATTTTTATCTAATTTATTGTGTATATTAAAAAATAAAAATTAATCATCTTAAAAATTGTTTTAAAGGCTATGTGTATAAGTTACTAACCTAATGGGTGTATAAGTGGCTTTGAGATAGCTTTTGGCTTGCAACGAAATAAACACTACAGAGACTTTCCAATTGCTTATTTCAATTCTTTTATACTTGATCAACTTTTTTAATTATCATCTATTAGTTTACCTTTTGGGTAACTTTGATTTGAGTCAGGTTCATCCTTTCTTTTTAGTGGGCATGATTATTGAGAAGGTGGCAAAGGAAATTGCTTCATATCTCACTTTTATTACGTTGAAGGTCCATTTCAATAAACCTGTAGCTCAAATTAGATTCATTCACTGAATTCATTAGGCACATACTTAAAATATACTGTCAATAATTCAATCTCACAGGAACCGGACTGAATTCTACTATAAAAAACTTCCATCAATGACTTGTCATTTGTAGATAGTATGGCTTTTTTGAATGCCAAAAACCCTTTTGCCTTGCCTATGCTTTGTACAAAAAACTTTCATCAATGACTTGTCATTTGTAGATAGTTGAGTATGACTTTTTTGAATGCCAAAAACCCTTTTGCCTTGCCTATGCTCTGTAGCAAGTCATATCCTCTTTTTGTTCATAAAAAATAATTCCTTTACATGGCTCTAGAGGACCATTGCTTGAAAGAAGACTTGACAGATTGGTGGTTCATTTCATTCACAGACAAATGCACATGGTCCATGTTATCTAAATTTGGCGCTACAACATATCTTTCTTTGGTATAGTCATCACACAAAACCTTTTCACAAAATATTAAATAGTTGAATGCAATTAAAGGATACTAAAAATACATAAATAAATCACCCTGATATAAAAAGATAAAAAATACTAACAGCACATGTCAATTTTATTTTATTTTTTTGCTGTTTTTAAGCAGTTCACCCAACCCAAAGATAAAAAATACATGTTAGTCGCAAAATAAGAGCATTGGAGTATAAGTTGGAACCCAAACAAAATGAATCAAAAAATTAAAATAGAAATAAGAGGATGCACGTGGGTTGAACAACCAAATTAGGAAAAGAAAAAAGGTAATTGAAAGTCGGAATACCAAATTAGACATAATTGTAAAAAAATATACAGAAAAAAAAATATTTTGGAAAAAAAATACACTATTGAGATACGTAAATGTTAATTTTGTAAAATTATCTTTCCTAAAAATTGTGAAAATGCATTTATTTTAACCGTTGAAATTTAGTTACATTTATTTCAAAATCTCTACATCTTCGGGTATCGTTATACTCTTTCTTCCTCACACCACCAATTCATCTTCTTGAAAACTTGACAACTCTGTGTCTTCCATAAAAAACTTCAAGGGTAGGGTGTCGACTGTGATCTATACATCGATTGACAAAGAATTTAGAATTTTATCGGTACAAATTCAAGATTGGTGAGAGGTAAAAAAAAAAGTAACAACCAAATTAGGAATCCATCAAATAATGCATACATTCTTACTTTTTTGGAAGATAGAGATTGAAACCCCCGTACATTACATAAAAAGTCACACCAAAAATTTTTAAAAAAATAGGAAAAGAGTAATACCCAAAATTTTGATATATTTCATGAGAAGACGAAGAGGAATATCGAAACAGAAAAATTTGCTGGCATTTTGACCGAAAAAAGACGAAGAGTTAGGCGTTCTTCTTCTTTGGTGGAGCGATATAGTAAGTCTCTCACTTTTGTTTCTAACTTTTTTATTATTCTTTTGGTTGAAGACTCTTTTAAATTTGTGGTGTTTGAATTAAAATTAAATGACCTGTCAGTGTGGTCATGGCTCACAGCAGCGCGTAGAAGCAGGATTAACAGAAGGAGTAGAAAATGTAAATATAGATGTTTAATTTTATTACACTTTCTCCTTGTACTTCATCATTTTCCAACCAAAAACAAAAAAAACCATGTGTCAGTTTAATGACCGACTATAAAGTATTTACTTTACAGTCTAACCTGGGGCGGGGGTAGAAATTTTTTTTAGGGTGGGCACCCTAATATATTTTAATTTTTTTAATAGACCGTAAAAATTCATAAAATTATATTTAATAATTTTTAAACATAGAAGATTAAAAATCGATATATTCATAAATAAAAAAATAATAATTAAAACTTCTTATCAAGAATACGACTAATTATTACTATTATTTACAATTGGCCCTTGTATGTTTTTATTATTTGAAAGAGTTACAAATTAATTTTATCAATAATATTTCTTTTATATGTAAAATTAGGGTAACAATATTTCATTTATAATTCTATAGTTTACTATATAACGACACACATTTTTATACAATAACGAAATAACTCTATAAGTTTAAAAAATTATCAAATAACACCATTATATTCAAAACATATCTAAAACATGTCTAAAAATTAACAATTATATTAATTGTATCTAATTTGAAATTTAATTGATGAAAACTCAATGGTTTGTGACCATTGGATAAATAATAGAGTTTATTAAATATTAAGACTTACTATTATGCTTAATATTGTAATTTATTAGGTTCTTAAATTAAGTTTCAATAACATTATTCTAAAAGTTAACAATCATTTAGATAGGGGTCTATTCAAATTAATATCACCAAAAATATAATATTAGGGTGGATACAATTAAATATGTCTAAATTTTATTTCAAAAAATATATACTTAATAAGAAACAAAAAAATTGAAGGGGCATGTGCCCACCCTAACCCAAGGGTGACTTCGCCCCTGAGTCTAGCCGTGAAAAACTTATTCTATATTAAACCCAACCTGCAATTCATCAACTAGGTCCAATTATACTTATAAATTATAATTGATGTATGACACACTGTCCATAAGAGACTGTCCAATTTTTTGAATTCAATGGGTGGAGGACTTGACACCTTTGAACCAATAATATAAATGTAATGAGTCGTAAATTTTAATAGAAATTATTAAAAAGTATTAAAAGACTCATAAAATGTATGAATTTAAAGTTAAAACATTAATATTATTATAAAGAGCAATGCTATTGAGACCTAATTTACTAATCTAATTTGTTAACCTAATTCACTGTGATCTTTGGATTAACTGTGGGCTCCATCAAATACTAAAACTTGATATAATAGAATTGACTTAAAAAAATATTAATTTATAATAACTGTGGACACCAAAACAGAACGTATAGAAGCCAACAGCAGTAGACAATCCCTTCCAATTCAGTGGAGTTCCCCTTTCTTGAAATCCAATACCATCAAATGCACCAGCCCACAAAATTGAGCCAAGGATTATGAAGGAAGCAAAACAGTAGGAAGTGTAATAAGGCCAACAATTATCACAAAGCAAACTCTTCCACCAATTCTAAGCCCACCTATTTCAATTCCCATGTCTGGAAATATTTTAACCAAATTATCCCCTTCTACAATTAGGAAACTCGTCACAGTCAAGTAGAGTTCAACATTCATGACAATGGATGCAAACGTTCTTCCTTTTGTACCGAATGCACACTCGACAATATCAGGATAACTTCTTATACTTTGATCTGCATCCGTACATCTTTGCATTAACAATGTTGTGTAGAAGGTTGCGATTGCAATAATAAGAAGAAGTATCAAGCTCAACCACCCTCCTGATGATAATGCATATGGTATGGACAATATTTCGAATCCTAAGAAACCAATCAAAGGCAGAGATTGTAAGATAGAACATTTAAGTAATCCGCACAGCCTGTTTTAATCCTACTTAATAGAACAAAATAACAAATAAAGACACTTGAAATTATTGGAGAAAGAACAAAATATTAGTGAAAGATGAAAAAGAACTTGATAAAACATTAAAACACGTCTGGAAGAAGGAGGTAGTGCCTGTAACGGAATTGGTCACTCCCTTAACTTCCTCCACCCCAAGTATGGTCTGCTGTTCATTGTTGCTATTGCCAAGTGGGAGGGGTATCATTGTAGAGAAAGAGGAGAGGTGCAAAAACTAGTGGACTAGAGGTTGGAAGGTGCTAGAGAAACTATGCCTTTGTGCTAGCCTGGTAGCTCTATTTATAGCGGGGATCTTTTGGTTTTGCCCAGAAGTAATTTGTATAGTTGGGAACATGAGACCATGGTTGAATTATCTAAGTGTAAACTAATGTAGAATAAATGGTAAGAATTTTGATATTTTATTTGATAGTCATCAATGTCATTCAATTAGGAATTGTTTATGACGTGATCAATCTCGCATCACTTGTTGGAGCACTTCTAAGTGTCACTGTTTCAACTTGACTTCCATGCTTGTGTTATCTGAAGATTTTCGGAACTTATCGGAAACTTAGATTTGAACTAGTGATTATAGGCGGAATTATGATGATGGGCCTTTTGGTTAGAATCATTGGTACTTGCACGTCTTTAATACGAAAAATAAAACATTTGTAAGTAGTAAATTTATCTTTGTTTATCTGAGAATATTCGTATATATGGGAATGTTACTAAGCAGCAGGGTTATCAAAATCGGACCAGATTGGCCGATCAGACCAGTTCAACCGTGAACCGAGACTTTAACTGGTCCAATTTTTTAGTTGAACCGCCTAAGGAAACGAACCAGCTAAAAACCAAAAAATCGATCAATTTTTAACAAAAACCGCGAATTGCCGATTTTATAAAAATCGGACAGTTTAATGCTTATTTAAAAATTAAATTACATAAATAATTTTTTTTACCCTAAATCAGTAAATAATTAATTTTTTTAACCTTATTCTTAAATAAATTATAAATGACACCCTTTCTTTTTCTTTATAATTTACTTGAACCTCTTTACTTTACTTTAAAAACAATAACCCCCACTTTGTTACTTAATTTCATTAATTTTATGGCAAATTTTATGTATTTTATACATATTTTATATTTTTTAGCTAAATTATTAAGTTTTATAATTATTATATATATATTTTTATTTTTTTATTATATGACCGGTCCGATTAGTTGACCCAACGATTGAACCAATGAACCCGGTCCCCTAGCTGGTTCGATGACCGATCCGATTGATGTCTACTGTAATCCGGTATGTTATTTTTTATTTTTATTATTGTTCTAATCTACTTAAGTTGAAAACGCAACATTGGAAATCAATGGATTATTGTCTGGAACTGTTGGAAATGGAATCGACCGTTTAGCAAAGATCTGATTGTTCATTTTACAGCAATTGAGAAAAAGTCCAGAACGCTTGTGCAACCCATTCATGGCATGGTTCGGCTACGGTTCTTAACCACCAAGCAAATATACCCGCCAAAAACCTCCAACTGTAATTGGAATGTGGATTCCGATTTCAAAAAGCAACAATGCCTCTCTCTCCTCAAGTCCTGCTCTTCTTTGGATCAGCTCTTTCAAATCCATGCACAAATCCTAATCGCTGGTCTCCAGAAAGATGAACAAATTGTAGATAAAATTATCCAATTTTGCGCACTACATCCCTCGGGAAGCTTGAATCACGCAAGACGAGCTATAAAACAATCCGAAAACCAAATACCCTCTTCGTGGAACAATCTCATCAGGGGCTATGCTACTAAGGGCGATTCACCAAGAGAAGCCATATGGGTTTTCCTTGCAATGCGACGTTCAAGAACCAGACCCAATGAGCTCACCTACCCATTTCTTTTCAAGGCTTCTGCTACATTTTCGGGGCTCAAAGAAGGGCGACAAATCCATACGGATGTTTTGAAGCACGGAGTGGATGATGATGTATATGTGCAGAATACTGTGATTCATTTTTATGGGTCTTGTAAGAAGATTGTAGATGCCTGCCGGATGTTCGATGAAATGTTGTTTAGAACTCTCGTTTCTTGGAATTCAATCATTTCTAGCTGTGTTGATAACTTGTGGTTCTATGAATCGATTAAGTATTTTGTCAGGATGAGAAACTGTGGGTTAAAGCCGGATGAGACCACGATGGTAATTCTGCTTTCTGCTTGTGCTGAGCTTGGAAACCTGAACTTGGGAAAATGGGCTCATGCCCAAGTTATTGAGAAAGGGTTGGTTGTAAATTGTCAATTGGGTACATCCCTGGTTGACATGTATGCCAAGTGTGGAGCTGTGGATTATGCTAGCCTAGTTTTTGATGCCACACTTGAACGCAATGTATGGACATGGAGTGCGATGATTCTTGGGTTAGCCCAGCATGGGTTTGCTACCAAAGCCCTTGAACTTTTCAGAAAAATGAAGAAGAATGTAGTTCAACCTAATTATGTGACATTCCTTGGGGTCCTCTGTGCTTGTAGCCATGCTGGACTGGTGGAGGATGGACATAGATTCTTTCATGAAATGGAGAATGTGCATGGGATCAAACCTATGATGATACATTATGGTGCAATGGTAGATGTTTTGGGCCGTGCTGGTCATCTAAAAGAAGCATATAACTTCATCATTGATATGCCGATTAAACCTGACGCAATTGTGTGGAGGACGCTGCTGGGCGCATGCAACATTCATGATCTCAATGACTACAACAGGCTGGGTGAGAAGGTAAGAGAGAAGTTACTTGAATTGGAGCCAAGGAGGAGTGGAAATTTCATAATGGTCGCTAACAAGTATGCTGAAGCTGGGAAGTGGGACAAAGCAGCACATGTGAGAAGCAGTATAAGCGACAGAGGCTTGAAGAAGATGGCTGGGGAGAGCCTTATTGAGGTAAGGGGATCCATCCATAGGTTCTTTTCTGGAGAAGATGATCAAGTTGATTGTGACAGTATCTCCCTGTTACTAGATATATTGAATTTGCATATGAAGATGGTTAACTATGAGTAATCACCATGTTTACTATGTTGCCTCTTTTTCCCTACAAATGCTTTCATGAAAGCACTAATTCTCGCTGCTTTTAAAGATTTGGTTTTCTCATGTGACTCTTGGCTTGTGCATTGTCGGCATCTTGCAAAATAGAATTTATTCCCTTTCGTATGTAGTATACATTTAAATAGTTTTGTCTTTTTTTCTTTGATTATTCAGATGGTTATGCTATTCTAGTTTTTTAAAAACATAGCAAGTGTATCTGTGTTTTTGCCCAAAAAAAAAAAAAAAGGTCTGCAAATATCCCTGTGGATACCAGGCAACTTCAAAATTAGCTGATAATAACAGCACCTTTTGTTGTGATACCTTATTCCTTTCCGCTTGAAATCTGAGCATTGGAAACATATTTTCCAAGATATTGGCATCAAAAAATAAAAAATTCTGTGACTTCAACATTGAAAATTGAGAAAAGAGAACCTACAAAAACTGGAAAGAGTCAGGCCATTTATATAAACAGAGTGCTCCATAATTTTTTTCATTTGCCTACAAAAACTGAAGTTTTATTGAGAAGCAAACTGAGAAACACCAGATATTACTAAAGATGAATAAAGCCTAAAAAGGATAGGGGTTCCTAGAAGCTAAAGCTCAAATTTATAACAAAAGAAATCGTAATAAAACTTAGATACTGATTACATTTGCATGATAGATCTCTTCTCAAAATTCGACACCAAATTTGTTGTATCCAATGCTTTTAGCAAGGTGAAATAACAAATTTAGATTGCTGTAAAATGAACAATCAGATCTTTGATAAACGGTCGATTCCATTTCCAACAGTTCCAGACAATAATCCATTGATTTCCAATATTGCGTTTTCAACTTAAGTAGATTAGAACAATAATAAAAATAAAAAACAACATACTGGATTACAGTAGACATCCCCTACTTAGCAACATTCCTATATACTGATATTCCCTGATAAATAAAGATAAATTTACTACTTACAAATGCTTTATTATTTGTATTAAAGATGTGCAAGTACCAATAATTCCAATCAAAAGGCCCATCACCATAATTCCCCCTATAATCACTAGTTCAAATCTAAGTTTCTGATAAGTTCCGGAAATCTTCAGATAGCACAAGCATGGAAGTCAAGTTGAAACAGTGACACTTAGAAGTGCTCCAACAAGTGATGCGAGATTGACCACATCTTAAACTATTCCTAATTGAATGACATTGACCACTATCAAATAAAATATCAAAGTTCTTACCATTTATTCTGCATCAGTTTACACTTAGATAATTCTTTTTTTTTTTTTTCACTTAGATAATTCAACCATGGTCTCGTGTTCCCAACTATACAAATTACTTCTGGGCAAAACCAAAAGATCCCCGCTATAAATAGAGCTACCAGACTAGCACAAAGGCATAGTTTCTCCTAGCACCTTTCAGCCCCTAGTCCACTAGTTTTTGCACCTCTCCTCTTTCTCTACAATGATACCCCTCCCACTTGGCAATAGCAACAATGAACAGCTGACCATAGTTGGGGTGGAGGAAGTTGAGGGAGTGACCAATTCTGTTACAGGCACTACCTCCTTCTTCCAGACATGTTTTAATGTTCTTGATGGGACACTTCTAAGAGGCTATTGGATCATTGACACGTGTTCTCGGCACCGAGGTACATACTAGCCTATGTTCCTTCGGCGCCGAAACCCCCTTCCTCTGACAGACCAATTCCTCGACCCTGAGCATATGCCCTCGGCACTGAGGGGACCTCCAATCCAGAGGGAGTCAGTTGTCCCCGGCCCCAAGGGTACCTATTCGGCTGCTAGAGGCTACTGATTGACAGCTGAAAAGTCTAAACTAGACTAGGAGTTAGCATAACACTCTGCACAATGAAGTCAGAATAGCATAATGAACTAGACACTCAACCAAGGAGAGTTGAACGAGTGGCATAAAGTGCGGGATGAAGAGTAGAAATACAATACTACCCCTGTTGAAATGCTGTTATTCCAGGCAAGCATTTAATGAATCCCTAATTGACGTGATGTCCACAGTAGCGTGAGAAGCCGAGGACATTGGGTATTAAATGCCCTGGGCCCCTAGCATTTAAAGTCTTACATTGGGGAAAGAGCATTGACTGCTCGGGAGCCTGAGCAATCAATATTGGGGTAATACCCAAGCCAAATAGGGTGTACACTGCCCCAGTTCTGAACATTACATACTAACTAGACTGTCCTCAATGATTAGTCTTTGAAGGAATAAATAACCCTCAAAAACACATTGCAAATGTACGCAAAATCACCCCTCAAGAGTCATACTGTGTTTTCTTCTTCCCCTCTTTTAAATAACTGACTTGATCGTTGAAAGGGATACGCCGAAAAACACTCCAGCGCCCTTCTAACTTGTTTCTTAAGTTCCAGGAATTGCCTGCGGTTAGCCGGAGTCGAGTGGACAACCCCAGAGGCAATTCATCACCATTCCTTGTTGTCAGATCAATCACATCGACGGACCTGAGTTCACCACAGGAGAGATTTGTTCTCATTTCAACTATTGTATGAAAATCAGCACGCATAATCTGGCGCCGTCTGTGGGAAACAACTAGATTTTCCAAAGAACAGTGACCATGGTGAATACTCGACAAAAGGGGAAGGGTCCTCAACAAAGGAATATCGATTTACCAGCCCCTCTTGTTCAAAAACGAAGAACTACATCGAAAGTACCAACAAAGGTCTAATTGTTCATACAAGGGAGCAAACCCACCAAACTAGTATGGGTATCGGGTTTGGGGGATCTGCCCCACTGGCCCGTCAACTAGTTGAGGTGATTGAAGAGAAGTTTGGGGATCGGTTACGGCAACTGGAGAAGGACAACGTGAATGTCCTCAATCGCCTCGACGAGTTTGCAGCCTCCGGTGGAGGATCGCGAAATTCAGTCAGGTTCCGGGAGCCTTCCGTCAGGGAAGTAGAATCTGAGGATCTAAAAAATTGCTTGAGCAGCAGAATAGGAAGCTCCAGGGCTCTGAAACGCCCGAGGGCCAAGTGACAGCTCCCGGAGATTCCAGCCAAGTAGGCTAGGTTGTTGGCGTGGAATGACCTCCGTTGGGGCCTGTCCGGATAAGGGGGGTGGAGGAGTCCGAGGAGGGATCGACCCTCTCTATTTGGCACAAGACGAGGGATCATCCTATCCGGTATCGAGCACACAAAGATGTGCTCCCCGAGCAAGCAGACGACCTCAGAGCCCGGGTAGACTCCAGGAGGAGAAACAAGACCCCGCAGGAGGGCGATACCGACGATAAAGCCATCCAATCACCTTTCACAAAGAACATAATAGAGATGGAGGTACCCAAGAAGTTTACAGTGCCTAGGTTCAAGGTCTATGACGGGCGATCTGATCCAGAAGCCTACCTCAGGCAGTACAAGCAAATGATGTTCTTATATCACTCGGATCATCGGTTACTATGCCAGGTATTCTCAATGAGCCTAGGATGAAGTGGTTCGAAACTCTTTCGCCCAATAGCGTGGGGTCGTGGAAAGAGCTTACTAGACAATTTTCCACCTATTTTATCATAGGAAGTAGGCGACCAAAGGATGTTGGAGCATTGCTGACCCTGAGGCGGAAGAAAGGAGTGACCCTACGCTAATATGCAACTCGCTATTGGGAGGAGGTGAACGAGGTGGAGGGATGTTTCAAAGTCATAGCAGCAGCCTCTTTCATGCTCGATCTCTCCTGAGACATCGATCTCTACCGATCCTTGACCAAGAAAACTCCGACCGATATGGGGGAGCTGATGGCCCAGATAAATAAATATTCTCAGATCAAGGACCAGATGGTGGGGGGCAAGGGGAAGACTCTTGCACCTAAGAAAAAGAAGGAAGGCGTCCCTTCCCGCAAAGGGTTGATACCTCCGACTGGGAGTTCCTTCAAGGAAGTCCACATTGTATTCAAGGAGCCTATCTACAAATTGTTTCATAAAATCAAGAAGGAACCTTTCCTCAAATGGCCACTCAAGATGCAAGGTGATCCATTTACCCGAAACTAAAAGGTGAAGTGTTCTTACCATCAGGACTTTGGACACCTCACCGAGGACTGCAGGGTGTACAAGTCTTTCCTGGAGAAGTTGGTGGTCCAGGATGGGCACCTGAAAGACTACATCGAAACGACGCTAGAGGAGGAGGTCCGTAATGCCAAGGACCAAGTTACCGTCCGAGGCAATGTAATCGACGTGATCAATGTCTGCCCCTTGGTGCGTCCGACATCCAAAACGCTCAAATCAGATCTCGAGAGGATATCTTTCACAAGAAAGGTGGACGAGTTGGAAGGGGGCCAGCCAAGCAAGAGGCCCCGAACCAGCAAAGGAGAGATCATTTTCTCTGACGATGATTTGGCAGGCATAGTCTTCCCCCATGAGGATGCCTTAATCCTAACCTTGAAGATCGACAATTTTGACGTCAAAAGGGTCTTGGTGGACTCCGGAAGCTCCTTCGAAGTAATGTACTTTGAAGTCTTGAAGCACATGGGACTTGGCACCCTGGACCTTGCCAAAGTTCATACGCCCCTCGTGGGATTCAATGGCTCGTACGCCTTGCCCTTGGGAAAAATCACACTCCCAGTCACCACAGGGCCCATTATGACCAATATAGAGTTTGTGGTGATCGACTCCTACTTTTCTTACAATATTATTATGGGGTGAGCTTGGCTGCATACCCTCAGAGCTGTGCATTCAACTTATTATCAGAAGTTGAAGTTCCCCACCCCGGAGGGAGTAAAGGAGATCCATGGGGATCAGGCATCTGCCAAAAATTGTTTCTATTCAGCTGTAAGAGCAGGGGTCGCCTCCAAGGATAAAGAGCGTGCTCCGGAAAAGATTCTGAATAAATAACAACTACAATCTGGGCGTCTAGGAGTAGACGACCCCCGGACGGATTCGGCAGATCGCTCGGTGGAGGATCTCTAAAAGATACTTCTGATGGAAGGAAACAAAGAAAAGTATTTCCTGCTCGGCTCCACCATATCCCTGACTGAGCAGGAAGAAATGACGAATTTCCTGAGAAAGAATGTATATGTGTTCGCATAGGACGCCACAGAAATAAAGGGGATAAGTCTAGACGCTATAACTCATAGACTTCATGTCAACCCCGCTTATAAGCCGATAAAGCAGAAACCACGATGCATGGCACCACACTATGCCCGTGAGCGAGGAGGTGGAAAAGCTCCTAGAGGCCAACACCATCCGGGAGGTTAAATTCCTAGAATGGCTGTCAAACACTGTCTGTGCAAAAAAGAAGGAAAGTTGCGCGTTTGTGTAGACTTCACTGATTTGAACAAGGCATGTCCCAAGGACGACTTCTCCCTCCCCAAGGTGGATTAGCTGGTAGACGCCATGGCAGGACACTAGTGGATGGCCTTCCTAAACGCCAGGGTGGGCTACCACCAGATTTCTCTCCATTCGTCCGACCAGGAGAAGACCGCCTTCATATTCCAAGGGGAGTTTATTGCTACAAGGTCATGTCTTTCGGCCTAAAGAACGCAGGAGCCACCTATCAAAGGCTTATGAACCAGATGTTCAAATGGCAGTTGGAAAACACCATAGAGGTATATATTGATGTATTGATGACATGTTGGTCAAAAGCAGGAGAAGCGAAAATCACTTGACGGATTTGGACGACATTTTCTTGACCCTCCAAGAATATGGGCTAAAGCTGAACGTGGCCAAATGTGTCTTTGGAGTTGATTCTGGAAAGTTCCTCGGTTACTTGGTAAGTCGGTGTGGAGTTGAAGCCAACCCGGAACAAATACAAGCTATCTTGGACATACAAAGTCCCAGAACAGTCCGAGAAGTCCAGAAGCTCATAGGGATGTTGGCAGCGCTGAACCGTTTCATCTCCCACTCATCGGACAAGTGCAAACCCTTTTTTGGGACTATCAGGAAGGTTGGGAAGGACACTTGGGACCAGGAGTGTGAAGATGCGCTTAGAGGAATCAAGGAATACCTCAGGGTTCTCCCAACCCTCTCTGTCCCAACTGGAGGAGAAATGGTGCTCCTATACCTAGCCGTGTCAGAGTTCTCTGTAAGCGGAGTATTGGTCTGCGAGCATGAGCACGAGCAAAAACCTGTGTATTATGTGAGCAAAGCTTTGTTAGAGGCCGAGACGAGGTACCTATCCCTTGAAAAACTAGCACTGGCGTTAGTCACGACTGTAAGAAAATTAAGGCACTACTTCCAGGCGCATCTGATTACTGTCCTAACTGACCAGCCCTTGAAAGCCATTCTCCAAAGGGCAGATTTATCAGGGAGAATCGCCAAATGGACGGTGGAGATGGGAGAACATGACATTTATTTCAGACCTCAAGCAGCCATAAAGGGACAAATGTTGGCGGATTTCATAGCTGAGTTTTCTAGAGAGACCCCCCTCTTGGACGAGACATCCCTCCTTGGCGATGGGACCTTGGCGGATGGTCAACAAGCCTCTTGGAGCCTTTGTGTGGACGGATCCTCGAACAGCAAGGGTTCTGAGATTGGAGTACTACTAGTCTCCCCGGACGGTGTGGTCATGGAACAAGTCATTCGGCTAGGCTTCAAAGCGTCCAACAATGAAGTAGAATACGAAGCCCTCATCTCCGGGCTCAAACTAGCTGAGGCAGTAGAAGCTATAGAGTTAGTCGTCCATTGCGATTCCATGTTAGTGGTCAACCAAATCAATGGAGAATTCGAGACAAGGGATTCTAAAATGAGGGCTTACCATCACGAAGCGATGACTTTACTCCACAAGTTCAAGAAAGTTGAAGTCAAACAAGTCCCTAGAGATGAGAATTCCCACGCTGATGTCCTGGCCTGCCTGGCTTCGGCACTAAATACCACTATGACAGGAAGAATCACCATAGAGTACCTTTCCAACTCCAACATAGATGAAGCTCCCAGGGTTGCCATTATCCAGGAGGGAGGAGATTCCTCTAGCTGGACGGACCCGCTACTTAGGTTTCTCCTTTCTGAGGAGCTACCTGAATGTCCTAAGGAAGCCAGAAGGATAAAGCTAAAGGTCCCAAGGTTCTGGGTCTCCCTGGATCAGAAGCTGTACCGGTAGTTGTTCTCCGAACCGTACTTGTTATGTGTCCGAAAAGACAAAGTCGAGCCTCTTCTGTATGAGGTGCATGAGGGATATGTGGGGGACACTCAGGTGGACGGTCCATGGCACACCGCATCATGTCTCGGGGATACTGGAGGCCACGAATGCAGAGGGACGCTTAAGCATACGTTAGAAAGGGTGATCAATGCCAAAGATTCTCGCCCGCCATCAGACAGCCAGTGGAGATTTGCATCCACTAACTAGTCCTTGGCCGTTTGCTTAGTGAGGATTAGACCCAATTAGACCCCTTCCAAGGGCTCCTGGAGACAAGAGGCTCCTGATAGTGGGAACCGACTATTTCACTAAGCGGGTGGAGGCGGACCCCTGACCTATATCAGAGATATAGACACCAAAAAGTTTGTCTGGAAGAACATCGTGACAAGGTTGGGGTCCCCCGCGCACTTGTATCGGATAACGGGACCCAATTCAACAGTAGACCCTTCCTGCGGATGACGATGTGAAACCCCTCCTTTGGCTGGGCCCAATGTTATGAATGTTATATTGGTTGCTTTAGAATGTGCTCCTTGGTCCAAAACAGGTATGTTACAATAAATAACTGTACTGAGGTGGGAAAACAATATTTGGGATGTTCTTTTTGTTGCAGTACAGTTTCTCATTACAAAATCCATTCTTTCTGTTTATCATATGTGGATAGCAGTTTTTAATTCCTGCTTTGTAATATTGTTGCTACGGTTCACAAACATTAAAATAGAAGTCTAAAATCACTCTGGTGGGTGCTGAAAGTGCGTGCATGTACAGTTGTCCGACTGGATGGGTCTCATAACCTCCATTTGGCATGTTCATTAATATTTTGGCAGTAAAAAAATTTTTGTTGTTCAGGGGTATATGATTGAAACCTTGGCATCTGCTTCTAAGCAGTCCCCCACTTTATCATTAGGCCAAGACACCAGTTAAGCAAAATATGTGCAAAAAAGGTAGAAGTAGAAAATTGAGTTTCTTAAGATAAAGTTATGCATGGCCTTTTGCCGTTATATCAAATTAACGAGTCTTACTTATCAAAGCTTCATAAATATAGTGAGTGGTATTTGTATGCATATATGCTAAGGGAAGTATTAATGTATGCCTCTATTCATATGTGTGCATTATTGTTGTATGCGACTCTCACACTAATTTACGAAGAGTTCTCTTAGGTGGGCTTGGAGATGTTGCTGGGGCTTTACCAAGGGCTTTGGCTCGGCGTGGTCATAGGGTTATGGTAAGTTTAGTATTTTCATCTATTTATAACTTGGTGTGTGCTAAAATAAGTTGTTTTTAGAAAATTGTTGCAAACAAGTGGAACCTATGTTGTGGAAATTTTTTTTTAGGGGATTAGGTTAGGCTGCACTTTACTACTTTTTAGCTCATTTAATCATCGTCAATCATGTCAGCCATATTATTGTCATCTTGTAGTTAATGGTACTTTGCATTTGTCTGCTTGATAAAAGCATAATGACTTCTGAAAAAGAAAAAGAAAAGGTTGAATGACTTGAAGAATTTTAATTGGTTGGAATATGGTACTAACATCTCAGATGTACTTGCAGTAGCATATCTGACATCAACCAATATCAATAAATTTGTGGTCTATTGGGGTTAATTTAAGTGGTTTTAATGTTTGGAAACCAGGTTGTGGCACCACGTTATGGTAATTATGCTGAACCTCAAGATACTGGAGTTAGGAAAAGGTATAGGGTTGCTGGGCAGGTATGCATCAGCAACACTAAAATGCTACTAACTTCCTACTGTATTATGATATCATTAACCATTAAACATTAAACATTTCAAGTTTGTGACAATGTGCAACTCTGCAGGATATGGAGGTGGTTTACTACCAAGCCTATATTGATGGTGTAAATTTTGTTTTTGTGGAAAGTCCTGAGTTTCGGCATTGAAAAAATAATATATATGGAGGAAATCGTGTGGTAAGATAAAGTTCACTCAGGTAGTTAGCTTGAGTCTCTGAGAGATAATCAGCGTCTGATTAATGATCTCATACTAAATAATCATTTGAGATAACTTCTTATATGTCATGGCTTTATAGAATATCAATATACAATCATTTGCTGCTTCCCACTAAGAATTTTTGTGATTAGGATAGTAGGTGTAATTAACTGCACCCTATTTCTTATGCAATTCGTCTACAAAACTTTGAAGTGTGTGATCAGATTACTAGTTTTTATAGATGTCTGCTTCCAGATGTGCCACATGTTGATGCTGTTTGTAAGCCAGGTTACTTTATCTAATTTCGTGTTTCCTGTGTTATATTCTTTAATTTGCATTAAACATTTATGATTTTTTCTTGTGGAACTTCTGGTTTATTAACTTCTTTTGTTGCTCGCTGATGCAGGATATTTTGAAGCGAAGGGTTTTATTGTGCAAAGCGGCTGTTGAGGTATAATATAAGATCAGGCTCTAAAGAACGTAGTTCAGAAAATTACTGTCACTTGTTGTTTATGACCCATCAATCCTAGAATTGGTGCATGGAACGAATAATTAATTTTTGCTTGTGCAACTATGGAGAATTACCAAAGATTGACTCAGAGAAGTCTAATCTGCTGTTACCAGTCTTAAACTCAAAATGAATTTTAAAAGCTCTTAAAATGGGAACGATATCCAAAGAGGGAAAGAAGGCTAGAATCAAAAGAACTCAAATTATCATAGAATGTTTGTATCATAATTCTAAATATTTCAATGAGAGAATCCTTGTTGCTTAGTTTTGGCCAGCCACAGTGTGGCCTCCTGTAGTGGATTCTTGGGATTCTAATGCTTTCTAAGTCACTACCATCTTGTTCAGGATTAGAGGTGCAGGCAAAAGCTGTCATACTCTCAGGTGTTTATATTGCTACTGACATGTCGAAAATGAGCAAAATGGATAACAAGCTACGCCACGAAAGTGAATGAGCTTATGCCTCGAAAAGAACCACAAAAGCACCCAAAATTAGGAAAAAAAAAAACAAACAGAAGGAAGAGAGAAATCATGAAAGAAAGGGGATACAAAAATGCAATGACATTAAGCAGTAGTCTAATTCAAAATCTAATCCTTGCTCATTTTCTTGTTCAATGTTTTGATCTGCCCAAGTGCTATATATAATATGGAGAATCTTGACTTTCAGGTCCCTTGGCATGTCCCATGTGGTGGGGCCTGCTATGGAGATGGAAATTTGGTTTTCATGCAAATGATTGGCATACTGCATTGTTGCCGGTATATCTAAAGGCATATTATCGGGGTAATGGATTGATGAAATACACGAGGTCTGTCCTTGTAATTCACAACATAGCTCACCAGGTTAGCTCTATAAGCATTGTA